CCCCCCCCCCCCCCACTTTGATGATCGTAGCCACCTTGATTTTGAAATTAATAAATACTTTTGATCAATAATGTTAATCCGAGTAATGGGCAACACTTTCATAATGAGAGTTGAATTTAGTGATACAGAGTGTTCACAAGGTAATGGAAATGGTAAAATTTCCAAACTATTGTTTTTCAAATTTAACTACCCCTATTTTATTTCGCTATTCGATTGTCTGTTGTGTTCTCTTCCATTTTTTTAAGGCCCCCCCCCCCTAGTTTTTACGTTATTTACAAAAGCACCTTCCCATTAATCGTATCGTATGGGTGGAACTCCCTAGGTACAGAGGTTTTCAGATCGCGTCAACAGCCGTCTGTGTGACTTAACGACATGTTATGTTATGACTGCCGGGACCGCAAGGGGATGTAAACCCCTCCGAAGCATGATAGTCAGGAGATGGTCTGTACCACTTAAACCTGGCAGGTTGTGGGATTCGAACTCACAACCTGTGAGGTTACAGTCCGAGTCTTAAACCGCTACGCCAAATTAATTACATGTTTATACACCGGAATAGGCTGTGGTAATAAAAAACAAAAGAATGCCCGAAAGTAAACAAGTGTCACAAATTAATTATTTGCTGCAGGTGTACCTACTTTCTATTTCGTAATAAAATAAGATTAATTAGAAAAGAGAATTTCAAGAAAGATAAACTATTTTTTTTAGATAAATGCGGAGGGTCGCAACTTTATATCAAAAGAGCAGGTTGCCTACCCCTGTCCAAACCCAAAGTATTATTGCGATGCTGTGGAACCAGAGAAGTTATAAGTAGGAGTTGTTCTAAATGTTCGGGAAACATGGCCGAAGGAGCTCTAACTCACCGTGAGTTTACTGCAATTGTTCGACTGAAACTCATAATCCGTACCGCGTTTGCTCCAGTCAAAATGTACCTTTAGGCCGATTCTACAATGCAGGTATATACTGAGAATAAACTATACCTCGAATAAACATCGACGGTTGCGTTGGTTGCCATTGCGTCAACCAATGGGATACTTGCTACTATAGACCATTCGCACCTTAGTATGCAGTATGGGGCTTATGGAGAAACAGTACATGCTTGCCAAACTTATTATAGGATCGATTACTGCACCGTAAAACGGGAGTTTAGACACTATTTATTACTTTTTAACCTAACCTCAGAAGTCAAAAAGGAAAATTAATAACAAGTTGTAATTGTTTGTCAAATGTGGCCGAGAACAGCTTGTATTTATTAAGTCCCCAAAAATTTACAAATGTACAGTATACATATTAGTCACTGGAATCGAATTCAAATTCATCGGAAGATGACTGCGACACTTGAATTATAAATTCTTCAACATCATCTTGAAGATAATCTGCTGCCCACATGCCATCTTCGATAGTTTTGACGTGATTGACATAATGTTGCCAATTTTGAACCGTAACTTGTGAATAACCCATTTTTATTAATTCTTCCATGTCCTTTATTTTAAATGTTTTGTTATTCATTTTGACATGATGTTTAACTTGAGCCCACACCATTTCAATGGGATTTAATTCACAATGGTATGGAGGTAAACGGAGAATCTCGTAACCTTTTTCTTGTGCAATAACATCAAGCTTATTTTTGTCGTAGGGATGCCGAACATGCGCAACAGAAGCCAGTAGGTCTCGTTTTAATGGATTTTCTTCAATCGGTACATTTTTCTCACGAAGCCAATCTATAATGTGTTCTTTTCTCCACGACATTGTTGGTATCTTCTCCAACTTTCTACTGTGGTACGAGGCATTGTCAATAACAATGACTGAATTCGGTGGTACATTTGGTAGAAGCTGTTCAAAAAACCACTTTTCATAAGTGTCTGCATCCATTTCGTTGTGTGCATCAGCAGTGTTCTTTTTGCAGAGAAAAGTCAGTTCCGCGCCCGGAATAAAACCTCACCACCAGCATGTACTAACGCAAAGCGAGGCCCTAGACCAGTGGGTGATTTTAAACCTGTACTGAGTCCTTTGATGAATGCCTGACGATTGCTTTCAACGGTGGTGTCATGCCACGCTCTGCTCACCGAATGATCAATGTTAACCCATGACTCATCCGTATACACAATATTTTTACCTAAAATATAAATATTATGTAATTTGCAATTAAATATAATAAAAAGATTAAGCACCTTCTTCTCTCAACTTCCTGATGCGACGTAGGTATTTATGTCTACATCGTATAATATCATCCCGTTCAATAAGGATACTCTTGCGGCCAACCTTCTTAAATTCAAAACCCATATCTTTCAAGAGATTGAATAATGTGGTGCGTTTAAAGTTGGGTAGATCGTTATCATCATTTACGGAAGCTAAGATGCTGTTCATAGTTGGTGGAATATTTGTAATGAAGAAGTTATGCACTTTACGTCGAATAACTGATTGCACATTTTCATCATACACATGAAGACGATCATTGCTTTGTTTCCCTTTTCTTTACTTGCGTTTTTTCGGGCTTGATACACCTTCGTTTCCGTCTTCCTTTTTAATGGCATAGATGCTCCGTTCAGACTTCAGAACAACATAAAGCTTTACTTGCTTCTTTCACAGCTGCAGTAACGTTCATCGTTCCCGAGAAATAGTTCAGCACGTTGATAATGAGGTGTTTCTCCTTCCGGTTAAAACACTCTCCTTTATGGCGTTTCACGTTAGCAGATCCTGCTTCAGCTTCGGCTTCCATTTAATGGGATATTCTAAAAAGATGAAATCAAATAACGGTTCTACAAGAACACTCAAAGTTACCTTGTATATAAAGTACGAGATGGAGGCGTTCTTAAAAGAAGGATTTTTAAAGCAATGAGACAATAAAATGTGTTAAATACGAAAGACAAAAACGAACCACACACGTAATGACAATACAAGAAGATTTGACGTTATATTTTGTTTTAAAGCTTAAATTCAATCATATGTAAGTTTGGCATCATTGCGGTAAGGAATAAGGATAGCGTTATTGAAGAATGACGCAAATTAGTAAAGGAGGGATATAGTCCATAAGACCCCATACTGCATACTAAGGTGCGAATGCTCTATACATATATGGCAATTATTCCAAGAATATCTTATTCTGCGAATAGGTGTAATTGTAAAACCGGCCCTTAATCGGTGATGTTCGACCCCGTCTCGATTCGTGACTCCCACATTAGGAACCGTTTGCACGAACATACATATTTGATTCAGGTTTAAACCTGATCTTGATTTTTGATGCAACTTCTACCTTGGATGCAAATAATCGACCGATCCATACTTTTTATAGGGCTCTCTAAATGTGTTTTCACCTAGCTTGTTAACAATCCACTTCTTTTATTCTTAGTTATTCAGTTTTCTATTCCATCGTCATTTACATTCACAATCACTGCGACTTGGACGGAACAATAAATAACCCTTTCATTTTGAGATATGAGCCACAAACAAACCATAATTATC